TAGATAGATAAATAGATATGTAGGTAGATAGATAGAAAGTAGGTAGGTAGGTAGATAAGTAGGTAGATAGGTAGATAGATAGTAGGTAGATAGATAAGTAGCTAGTATGTAGGTATGTAGGTAGATAGACAGTAGGTAGATAGATTAGGTAGGTAGGTAGGTAGATATGTAGATATGTAGATAGATAGTAGGTAGGTATGTAGATAAGTAGGTAGGTAATAGATAGATATGGATATGTAGGTAGATAGTAGGTAGGTAGGTAGGTAGGTAGATAGATAGATAGATATGTAAATATGTAGATAGATAAGCAGGTAGAGAGATAGAGGGAGAGATAAATATGTAGGTAGATAGATAGATATGTAAATATGCAGATAGAGAGATAGAGAGATAGATGTGTAGGTAGATAGATAGATAGAAATAGAGAGATAGAGAGATAAATATATAGATAGATAGATAGATATGTAGGTAGATAGATATATATGTAAATATGCAGATAGTAGATAATAAAAAGGAAGGAGCAGAGAAGCACTGAGCAGCTGCGCATTGACAGCCTGTGGTCATCAGTCACTAATTATTTCAGAGATCACACAGCTCTGTTTGTGGTCACATGGGCAACAACAAGGGGGCCACAGACAGTGGGACTTTTCGCAGCACCACCCCTGAGTCAAAGCAACCTGGTGTAAAGAGCACACACAACCTGCCACTTCCAGGACTGCCTGAAAGAGTGTGGGTACCCAACTTTAGCTCATTCCCAGTTCTGTGAAAACAGAAGTATGTGCCCTTGGGTAAGAAATGTCTGGGAAGAAGTTTCTGGGGATTACTCCAGGTCACAGCTACATTTGACTGTAAACTTCAGAGTACCAGTCACGAGTTTCTGCAGGCTTGCAACCAGAGGGGCTTTTTGAATTGCACTGTGTACACTGCTGGTTCCAGGGCACTCTGGAACTGCTCACACAAGTGTGGGGTGCCCTCTTCTGGCAGAGCTGAGCATAACTGCAGCCCTAGACGGCAGGGCTTTTTCTGGACTCCTTCCTGTATCAGCAGGGCTGAGCTGGGCTAAGCTATGACTGAGGGTGGGCTGCTAAGCCTCTGAACTGTGGGCACTCTCTGTGACCTACTAAAGGGTCTGTCTCTGTCTAGTGATGCCATTTAGACCTGTCATCTCAAGCTACTGTTGTAGGTAGCTCTGCTCCCTTCTGATGTCTCGGGGATACACTTTCTTTGGTCTCTTGTATTTAAAGGGGGGTTGCCTGGAAGGGGCAGGCTTCTCGGGAGGCTCTTGGCCTTGCCCCTGAGAAGGATTTTGTCATCCACAGTGGGTCAACCATGTGATTCTGATTCCACCCCTCATATCACGAGCCTGTGCCCACATCGCACTGGCAGCTGGACACACGGACCTAGTAGGAGCTCCGTTCCCCATTTACTCACCAGCAATGGCTCTCCCTGAGCTGGTAATCAGTGGGTCCTCTGGGCTAGCTAAATCACAGACTGACCCATGCACTGGCTGTCATACGCTGGATGGATGCTCATGATGCTACGCAGTGTCAAGGAGTCTTCACTTTCCTGATGCTTTGCCTGGAAAAGTCCTCATGTGAGTTCTCATCGCTCTCTGAAACTTCAGACTTTGTATTTGCAGCTAATACATGGTGTCTGTATAGCTCACCCTTGCAGACTTCTGTCACCCATGACAGGCCTCATTGGGCTCCTGGGTTTGGATGGTTCCCCAACCCCACCAGGGGAAATGAGGTGGTATCTTCATTCAGTGTACATGCTCAGACCCTGTGACCAGCCAGCCATTCCTGGGGTTGTCCTCTGTAGAGGCCCAGAACAAGGGCTAGCAGCGCTAAAAGGCCATCACTGAGAAGCTTGTCTGCAAGGACTGCGGACCCCTGGCTCCTCCCCATCCCTGTCAATCAGCAAGTGTTAGAGCTAGGCCATAGGCTGGAGGAGAGGCCAGAGCTGGGGCCTACCAGGGGATGCTGCAGGAAGAGCACGATCACAGGTGAGGCCTTCAGTGTGAGGTGGGCAGCCTCTTGTCTGCCACCAAGTACCACATGCGGCTTCCACTTGTGTGATGGTTAGTGTCGATTGTCAACTTAGTACAATTGAGAACCAACAAGGAAGAGAATCTCCATCAGGAATGGTCTAGATTAATTTGACCTGTGGGCATGACTGTGAGGGACTTTTTTTTTTTAATTGGGTTAATTGAGGTGGGAAGACTGTGGTGGTTTGAAGGAAAATGCCCCCCTCCCATAGGCCCATAGGGGGTGGTGCTATTGGGAGGTGTGGCCTTGTTGGAGTGGGTGTGGCCTTGTTGGAAGAAGTACGTCACTATGGGGGCGGGTTTAGAAGTCTGCTATGCTCAAGCTACACCCAGTGTGATCCAGTCTCTTGCTGCTGCCTGAGGATCTAGATGTAGAACTCTCAACTGTCTTTCCAGCACCATGTCTGCCTGTGTTGCCGCCATGGCCCACCATGATGATAATGGACTAAACTTCTGAACTGTAAGCCAGCCCCAATTAAATGTTTTCCTTTATAAGAGTTGCCAGGCAGGTGGAGGTGGTGCATGCCTTTAATCCCAGCACTAGGGAGGCAGAGCCAGGTGGATCTCTGTGAGTTCGAGGCAGCCTGGTCTACAGAGCGAGATCCAAAACAGGCACCAAAATTATACAGAGAAACCCTGTCTCAAAAAACAAAAACAAAAGAGTTGCCATGGTCATTGTGTCTCTTCACAGCAATAGAAACCCTAACTAAGTATCGGGGACTATGGGGGTCCAGCCCTTCGATAGACCCCTCCCAGGGTCCGGGAAGAATCTACAACCAGCTGATAATTAATCTTTGATGAAAAGAAATGAAATCTATGTACATGAAATTCCTTAGTCCATATACTTTATTATTCTGTGTCAGTTACAAGCATATACTCTACCCTCATATTTAGCTCCTTTCTTGCCCAATATCTCTTTACATTTATTTGTTGTCCTCTCTAGGTTCTATCTTAATTCCTTCATCTAGTTCTGTCCCTTCCAGGTTCTCATCCATCTAGTTCTTTCCCATATCAGCTCCTCTCCCATCTCCTTCTCTCTGGTCTTGTTCTTCCTCATCTTGTTCTTCCCCATCTGGCTCTTCCTCATCTTCCATCTCATTCCTCTAGTCCTCTCTTCTAGCCCTTCAATCTAATTCTTCCCCATCTCAGTTTGTTCCTCTCAATTTCTTACCCATCTAGTTCTTCCTTTCTCTTTTCTCTTCTCCATCCCCGTGCCCTGGAAGTCCTGGTATATACACACTTACAAGCAGTATTCCCTTGGCAGTGCAAAGCCAGGCTTCCAGGGTCAAACGGAGGGGTGATAAAAATCACATGGGGGCAATAACCATTAATTATCATTTGCAACCCCAAAGGGAAGTGACCAATGGGGAAATGAATTAACTAAAGGCTAAATTCAGGTAATATCTAAAAAGAGGACTCATGTGCTCAACTATAGTCTTAAACGTGATTAGTAGAAAATGTTAAGAATCTATAAGTTGCTAGGTCAGTGGGAGAAAATAAAACTGTCTTCTTTTTTCCTATGGCTCATATCTGTCCACGCTATCTGCCATTTTTCTGCAGGGTGGGGGAAAGTGTGCTCAGTCGCTAGGCAACCTGTATACAGCTAGATGCCTCTGGTGATAGTTAAAGGGAGATCTGGAACTAGAGGTAAGATTTGGGAAAGAAGGAAGTAAAGCTTAATTGGCACATCCGCCAGGCCTTTTCAAACAGGTAGTCTGGATGCTTAAGTCTGTTCTTAGAGAATACAGAGGTGTCTCTGATAAGGTACTTTCCTCCATCTGGGGATGGACCTGGCCGGATGCTGCCAATGATGATAATTACAGGGAGGCTTGAACTGGGAGTTCTGGCTGAGCATAGCTGTTAGCGCGCAGGTTATCTAAATATTTCTGGAAGTGGTTAGGCAATGAGTTAGAGGTCTAAAGTTAGTAAGGCTGTAAGAAGGAAGGGTCTGAGCTAAATTGTATAAAGCTATTACTTAATGTCTACCTGACCTAGGCAGTGACTTCTTGTGGAATTTATCTTAAATCAGGATACTTGCATGTGGACTGTTGTTACTGCTAGTCCTTGAAAGTGGCCAAGGGAGATATCTGATTCCAGAGAAAGCTTTTCCTGAGGCTGTTCTCCAAATGCCTGGAATGTGTATGTCCAGAGAATGATCGGTCCACACTGTTAGCCCTTCTTAGGGAAAAATCAACTGGGAAAGCTATGAAGGCACACATGATTTTCATAACAAAAGACAGCTGATGTATAACAAGCCAAGTAACACCAAAAGCTCCTTGGAATTTGGCTTCCTCTGGAGGAAATCCTTGATCCCTCCAGGTAGTGACTTTGCCATAACCAGCTGAGTTCTTATGATATATTCCTGCGGCCCACAGCAACTAAGACATGGACCTACCCTGAATACGGGCAGCACCATTTTGTGGGCTGGGTCCTGGAGGTGATAGGGAGCTGAGCACCAGCATGCATGCCCTGATTACCGGCTTCTGACTGCAGATTCAAAGCTCACTCAAGCTTCTGCTGCTGTGAATTCCCGGAAACGAGGGGCTGGAACCTAGAACCAAGTAAATCCTTGCTCCCTTAAGTTGCTTTCATCAGGGAATTTTATATCACAACAGAATCAAAACTGATAGCCTCTCAGTGCAAAGGGCCCTCTCATGACCAGGTAGCATATCTGTAAGACCACCCCTCACCCTCCACTCCCTAGCACAGGGCCACTGCCAGGCATGCCCCCTACAGCCACATAACAAGAGCACTTCATGGTTCATGGACAAGTTAACCTTAGTGGGCTCAGTGTCTGGCAATGATAGGTGCCTCTTAGCCAAGGGGCTTCCACCTGCCCACCCCAGGTGTTGTCTACCATAACAATTTGTTACGGTAGGTAGGACCACCATTAGAAGACAGCGTTGCTCAGCTTTCAGCAAGGAAGCATGGCCCAAAAAGAAAATTTGTGCTGGGTATGGTGGCACATGCCTTTAACCCCAGAACATGGGAAGCAGAGGCAGGTAGATCTCTGTGAATTTTGAGGCTATCCCGATCTATATAATGAGTTCCACGACAACTAGGGCTACAACGTGAGACCCTGTCTCAAAAAAGGGGGGGATAGGGTGAGATTTTGTGGAGCTCACAATTTATCTTGGACAAGCTGTGTGTTTCAGTTTCCCTTCAGTACAGAGAGATTCCCCACCTTCCTACTATGGGTTACTATGCATTGGGTGCAGGCAGAGGGTCCAACCTACCTATTTGAGCTAAAAACAAAAGAGGCCAGGTAGGGAGATAAGCGGTCCCCACACGTGTCTACAGATGTATCCCTTGAGGGTCAGAGTCCTGTGAAGTTACTGACCAGTCCACCTATGGGCAAAAGAAGCTGAGTAGTTCAGCAGGCCAGGCCCAGAGTGCTGGAACAGGGCTATGATGACATGCATGACAGGCATGATGACAGTAACCCTAGCTCTAGCATGGGCTCTCAGGGCCACAGCATCCTGGATCAAAGATCAGGAAGCACTTAGGAGCCATTTAGAGGTGGGCTGGAGGACCTGAGACCTGGACAGCTTCCTTAGCGCAGGGTCATGGCCCAGAAAGCAGCCACCGCGTCTTGTCTGAGCAGGCTGGGCTCTTCACATGGCTCAGCCATGTGCACCTGCCACCTCTTAGCCCTCTGTCACGCTGCCAAGCATCGCGGTTGCTATGGAAATGAAGATGTCACCTCGTTCCTCTCCCAGGACCTGCACACCCTGTGCCAAGGACACGGTGTGAGCTTTGCTACATCTCAGCTTCTTTGACGCCGTCATTCCCCTAAGCTGACTGCACTGGCCCAGGACGCCCTGGCATCAGAGCCAAGCCCTGCATCCTCAGAGAGAGCGCGTCTGCCGTGGCTCCCTGAAGTGTGCCCCCTCATGACTGCCCTTACGACCATGTCACTCTGCTTCCGTGTCCTGAAGGATGCCCCCAGGACTATCCTCCAGGACTCTACTTCCTGGGGGTGGGGTCACCCCATAGGACTGTATGTTCCAGGGCTATGCCTTTCCTAGCAAGTCTGCACAGCTAAGGAGAGACATGGGGGCCTCAGCGGCCATGCCCCTCCCACTCCCCAGCCTCCACCCTGCTGCACAATGGCGTCTCTCTGGACTTTCCTGGTGCTCACCCTGAGAGCCAGGACTAGAGAACTGACCCACCGTTGCCACCCAAGACCCAAGCATCTAATAGCCCATATCTATCTGACCTCTGGCATCATGTCTCTACCCCATGCCCCTACTCCTGTGACACCATGTCTTCTCTTAATCTTTAATGGTGACAGTCTCTGCTTTAGAAAGACTCCTGTTCAGCCCCCAAAGTTCCAAAATCTGTAAATTTATCATGAAAGCAAATTCACGTGCACCTCCTAGACCTCCTTTGCTTGACTCTGGCCTCACAGCACTGGTCCCTTCTGTTTGTCCAGGACCCCTCTACCTGGTGTCTCTCCAGCTTCACCCATGGCTGCCAGAACCTTACCTCCGGGGTTGTCCGGGACACCTTGCTCCTGGTCTTAACCAAGCAAGTATGTGTGCAGCCGTGCCTGTGTCCATTGAGAAGAAGCAATCGTGTCCTTTCTCTGGGACCTGCCAGCCCTGGGTCTGGATTCCTCTCAGGATCTGTGCAATGCTGCAAAGTGTCGGCAGGTGGCATCACTGCACTGTCTGGGCCCTTCCCACTGGAGGCACAGGGAGGACCACCCAGGGTAGCTCAGCCTCCCCTCCACTCCAGCCCCCACCCTGCCTCCGGCCAGGGCTCCTCCCTGGGATACCTAGAGATAGCATTCATATGATCCTGGGGCACAGAAGGGAGAAAGGAGGCAGAGCAAATTTGCTGTTGCCTACTCTAAATCTAGTTTCTTAAAATGACCCAGCAGGACCCAAGAGTCTAGCTCTCTCTATCCTCCCTGCCACACTCCCAACCTCAGACTCAGGTAGACTGGCCACAGTCATAGTGTATGCACGGGACACCTTCCGTGGGGACTCTGACCTCAGTATCGAGTGTTTCTGCTCAGCTGGGATTGGGGGAAGTTCCCAGACAGAGGCTCCATCCCACCCTCAGACCAGAGGCACCAGTGAGGTCAAAACCAATGCCAGGGAGTGGGGATCAGCCTTAGACACGGGAGGCCAGGCCTGATGGGTGTCAGAGGACAAGTTAGGTGCCACCACCAGTCTGGTCACTAGAGTCATCGAACCTCCAGCCTCTCCCTCCTGCTCCATGGCTTCCCAGCCTAAGAAGCCAGGCTGTCCAGAGCTTCATGAAGGTCAGGACCAGGGAGTCTGCCTCCCCTTAGCAGATTCCTGGCAATGTGGAGGGGGGTATGTGCCTGGCTACCACAGGCAGCTGGGTATAGGGGGTGCTGACGCTTATAAGGGAGCCCAGTGCAGTGTGAACAAGAGGTGCGTGGGGAGGCTTCTAGGAGTGTGGCAACTCGACCTTTCTGCAAGAAGCCAGCAGAGAGTGCCCACCCCCACCCTCTGCTGACTACATAGAGACTACTGGGCCGGGTCACTGGGCAGCAGAGAATCCTGTGTTAAGCAAGCCAGCCTGTGTGCCTCTGGGGATTGGCCCTATGGGCTCTCTGAACTGAGTCTTCCTCCCCAGCCCTAGGGTTCAGGCAGTTGTGGTAGCCACTGCCAGAGGGCCTGGGGAATCAGTGTTCTGCTGGGCCGTCCCCGTCCCTGTTGCCGCATCGGGCTCGTGCATTTCTGCCAAGTGCTGCGGCTCATTGTATTGCTGCCGCGCTGTGACAGGCAGCATAGTATTCAGGTTCCAGCACACTCCCGGATGTCACCTGCCAGCAGCTGGGTACCCAGGTGAATGTGGGTCAGATTCTGTTAAGTGAACGTACTGTGCCTCTACTCTCTCAGAACCTCCTCCTTGAGGGGTCCGGGTCCAAGCTCCGGATGGGCCACACCTCCCTAGGGGTCTGCACCCAGGTTCCCTGAGCACACCTGCTACATCACTGCACCCTCCTATGAGCACTTTGGGCAGCCTGTCACCCACGGGTACTGACTGGAAGTCAAAGTCAGATGTGAATATTTCATGGGTGGCAATATAAATAATGCACTTAAGCAGAAAGACAATGTGAATATTTTATACATGGAAGTGCAGTTGAATTTTAAAATCAGTCCACGTTATAGGCGCAGCCTGCAGGTCATATGGGAGGCGGTGGTGGCCCGGGGCACTTCTCAGGCACAGGTCTGTGCCGAGGGTGTATATCTGCACTTACTGCTCTCCCAGGGTTACAATTCGGTTCCTACCTGCTGCTCCTGCCTCTCACCCACCCTCCTGACTCCACTGTCCTCTAAGGCCTACAGGACCTGCATTCTGGTGTCCCATGTATTTGCGGCCTCAGCAGCTGACCCTCTGAATTGAGATGGTTCCTTCCAGTCATTAAAGGCAGGACCCAGAGAAGGCAATAGAACTCCCCACATCAACATTCTGGGGTCCCCTGCTCTAGGAGGAGCAAATGGAGGCTTGATTCCCAGAAGACAAAGCAAATATTCCAGGGCCCCCCAGCCCACTCTCTCCTGGTTTCTGGTTCATTTTTTTTTTTCTCCTAAATAGATATTTCTTTTTGTATTTTCAGATTTTTTAATAGTGTACACTTTATCTTATTAACATCTATAATAAAACCCAAGACAAAACCCTAAATCCCAGAAGAACTTGGTCAAGGCTTAGGGCAGGCAGCCCTTTCCAGTTGGAGTGGAGCCTGGAGGGAGATGTGGGGGCCACATCTGGGAAGGGGCCTCATTCTGCTTCTCTCAGGAGATCCTTCTTTTGCTTAGAAACCCCGCTTACTAATATAATCTTTACATTAGAGCAGCTATGGCTTCCCTTGCAGTATTTGAGGGCTCTTTAGACTGGTGTCTGGGGACCGGCTTCCCTAATCCCCGCCTCCCTCAGCCACCACCACCCTGTCCCTTAGAGAGGGAGTCAATGTTGCTTATACTGTATTTTAATTAGGATTTTTGACAGGCAATTTGTTTCCTGCCTCTGCCTGATCAGGCCCTTAGCCTTCTCAGGCTGCCCCTCCTCCATAATCTAAAGAGCCTTGGGAGCTCTTCCAAAACTATCTGGGGTCCTGGGAATGGGTGGAAGGGTGCCAGGTGGGTCTCCCTAACTTCCCCAGGTTGGGAAGCAAGAGTGGTCTTAGATACTGCAGCCTCCTCAGGCTGCATTCCTGAAAGCCAGACTAAGGCCACCTGTTCACACAGGCCCAAACCGGCTTTTCCAGCTGCTTACTAGGCAGCCTCACCAGGTTCTGGCCTCTGGCCTCTGGTGTGTGGGAGGCCGAGGAGACAGTTGCTGTGGGGCCTGAGGCTGGCCTTGGAGAGAGACTGGAAATATGCTTCTTGTCTGAGGTTTGGGTAAGAACAGGAACCTACAAACCCTCCAAGCCTGGGCCTTCCAGGGCAAGAGAGGGAAATGTTGATTCAGAAGGGAGGAGGGGAGAAGGGGCAGAGGAGGGCAGGGAGGGGACGGGAGGAGGGCAGGGCTGGCACTCGCCAAGGCTGCTGACACTAAGCCTCTGCCTCTCCTATCTCCTGCCGGGAAAGCTGCCAGAGGGGTAGAACCCAGTGGCCCATGCTAATGCTACATCCAGTCCCTGCCCCAGGCACCCAGAAGCTCAGGCCTAACCCTGTCTCTGCACGGTGACACACAGGATGAGGCAGGGCACAGCCAAGTCCCTCTGTGCCCCGCGGTGGTCCCACTTGTTATCCCTGAGCCTTCAGGATCTGGGACACGTGTTGGGCCACTCTGAGGGCCACTCTGGCCACCACCACTCAGGATGGGGTAGGAGCTGGATTCCAGGCCTGGGAACAGCCCCATACCGCCAGGAGGGCCTCTGCAATTAGTTCCCGGGCCTGCCCATCACTCTGGCACAAAATGCTAGAGAAATACTAGAGTGGGTCTTACTGGCCCCTGGTTCCAAGCCCAGGTGGGTCTTTTAAGAGGTGTAGGCTGTGCTCCCGAGTGGCCGCTACTCAGGGCAGAGCTCCCCAGAGAGCCTGCTCCTCTCTTGTCTGTTTTCTACCCTCAATGCCCAGAATCCCTGGGGAACAACCAGGATGGCCTTGCTCAGAAGGAGCAGTAGGGAACCCAGTCTCCCTTCCCCTCTCCTCCTGCCTGCTCCTCATCTTCCTCCTCCTCCTCTGCCAGCTCCTCCCCCTGCCCACACTTCCTCTGTCTCTCCCTAAGTGAGTCAGCAGGGAGCTCACAGCCCATTGCAATCCCTTAGTCTAGCCACCCTCATCTTCCAGAATGATCCATGCTCAAAGCCTCCTCTGCACTCAGTCAATCGTGGAGGTCCTGCCCACCTTTGCCCTGACCCCACCGTACCTACAGAGTCAGACCAAATTCCTTCTCACCCTTGGCCTGCCTTCTATTGCTGCTGGCTCCAGGGCTGATTGGGCCTCACCTGAAAGTACTTTTGAGTGCCCCCCTTCCCATGGGCCTGTCATAGCAGGGGGCAGTGTTGGGAGGGGCAGGATGGGGGTGAGGGGACCACACTCAAGGCCCAGCCTTACCATGGACCAGGGCAGCTCATCTGTTTGTGGCTTCCACCCTGGGCCCCTTCAGAGAAGCTGCTAGAACCTCTCTCATGCTCTTCTGCAGAGTTTGGGTGTCCAAGGCCCACGACTGAGGCTGCAGCCCCTTGCCCTGGCTCTGAGCCCCACAACACTGCCTTTCTACCCAAAGGTCCAGCCTTAGGGAGGCTCCGCTCCATGCCTTAAAGTCAATTCCAGTTGTATGACCACAGTGACCAGCTTCTCCTCCTCCTCAGCCTTTCATGAGGTCACCCAGGCTTCTGGGATATGGACAGAGCCTGGAGCAGCTGTGCCTAGCTAGAGCACTGTGTCCAGGAAGTACTGACAGGCAGTTGGGGAGGAACGTTTCAGGTCCCTTTGACCACTCCCTCTGTCCCCAAGTCTCAGCCTTTGGGTATTTGAGACAGAGAGGACATAAGCTTCTTTGTGGTGGGCTCCTGCTGGGATGCAGACAATGGCTAGGGTGTAGAACAAGTCTAGATGCAGCAATATGGCAGAGCACGGCTTAGAGGACAGACAAACCAGGAGAGGGACAGGAGTCGAGTGAATGGCGCTTGAGGAGTAAGGGGAGCTTGGGGACTGGGGCCTGAAAGCAGTGACAGGACCAGGCCCCTCCTGCCTCCCTCCCCCAGCTTCTGCAGGGATAACCGGGCCTAACCAACTCGGCTCAGCTCAGGGACTTCCAGGCTCCAGGGCTCCACCACTGACTCAGCTTGGCTCCTAACAGCTCATAAATATTCATTTAAAAATTAAAGCTCCATTAAAGAGCTAACTGGTTGCTGATATTTGCAAATTATTTTTGTGCAAAAAAGATTTAGTGGTAGAGGATGAAGTCCAAGAAGCAGATCAAAGGCAGTGAAGAGAGAGGGGGCCCCCTCACACGGTGTCTGGGGCCAGAGCCCCAAAGCAGGTCTTTGTGTTGCCGCTCAGTTGGCTGGGGTCCTTTCCTTGTACCTGGAGGTAAACTGTGAGATGTTGAGGTGACACCTTTTGGTGTTGGCAACCCCAGGCTCTTGAGTCCCCAAGACTCACAGATGAGTCTAGCAGACCCAGAGGCATACAGATCAAACCCTAAGACCGACCAAGGGCCTCTTGCTCCAGGCTTTAGAAGCCAGAGCCTTATGGCTCCAGGTTCTCCAGCTAGAGGCTTGCTATCACTCTGGGCATGAAGACCCAGCCACCCTGCGCTCGGCGGCTGTCGTCATGCCAGGCTTCCGTCACACGTGAGCAGCACCAGTAGGCAGCGTTAAGCCGCTCAGTTCTCACAATGACCGGGGGTATTTGGAGTCATGGCTTGACACTTGCAGGCACTGAGGCTGATCGTTTCTTGCCTTTTAACTGGCTGTCACCTTTGTCGTCTCTGCCACTCTACTCTCTGCCCTGGGCCACTCTGTGGAACTCTTCAAGGCTCCTGGCCTGCTGCTCTGCAGCGGCCACCCTCACCAGCTGCCGCTCTGGCTGTCTCTTCTTTGTCACCCGCTCAGCCCGTTCTACTAATGACAATGACCAAAAAAGCAGGCAAGAAAAAGCAGACACATTCGAGAAAGCTTTCAAGGGACCCAGTGTTGCGATACCGGGGCAGCATAGGAGGATTCCTTCGGGCTGGATGGAGCCGAAAGCCGAGCCCCTTGCTTATCTACTCAGGAAAGGGTACAGTGACCTTATGCAAATGAAGTAGTGTGTTTGCACCAGTTGCAGCCCACAACTGCTGGGCCGCAAGGAAAAAGGTTTCTAGAGTCCACTGAGACTGGTGATAAACACAAATGTAGAGCAAGCCATTTGGAACAGTTTTGACTGGAATGTTACCTTCTTGAACCGGTGAGGAGCTTGGGCACTAAGCAGCTGTAGTTGCAGTACAACTTCCTTGAGTATCTATCTGTGAAGCATTCAGAGCATCTAGGCATTCATGAGAACTGTCTCCCTGGCATCTAAAGAGGGCCTGCTTGTCTGCTGTTTTTGGTTCAAAGCAGCCAGGTGCCAGGGACGAGTCTAACAGCTTTTGGTTATGGATTTAACAGCCCCTGGAGTCCCTCTATCTTAGCTTTAAAGAAAAAATAAACATTAAAAGAGGTGCTTAAGAGCTAGGGCTGTAACTCAGTCAAGTGCTGACCTAACGTGCATAAAGGCCTGGGTTGGGTCCCCAGTACTAAACAAAACTGGGTATGGTGGCTCATACATGCAAAACCAGGAACGAGAGATAAAGGCAGCTGTATTGAGAGTTCAAGACCAGCCTGGAGAGACTATTTCAAAAAACAAAAATCAATGGGTGTGTGCTTAGTGACCAGAGAGAGGCACTATTTGAGAAGGATTAGGAGGAGTAACATTATTGAAGTAGGTGTGGCCTTGTTGGAGGAAGTATGTCACTGGGGGGTGGGCTTTGAGGTTTCAAAAGCCCATGCCAGGCCCACTCTGCTCCCCCATCTCTGCTTGCAGATCAGGATGTAGCTCTCAGCTACTGTTCAGCACGAAGCTTGCCACCATGCTCTCTACCATGATGATAAAGAACCAACCCCCTGGAAGCACGGATAGCATAATCCAGGGAGGGGAGAGAGATAGAAATGAATCTGGTCTCGATTAAAGTGGGGTGCCCACAGATAACCACAAGAGAACTGGGGTCACAGAGTGACTCAACCCTGCATGTTCCTCATGCTGGCTGCCAAGACTGGAGTCACAGACCGTGTGGCCTGTGGCCAGGCTCTGCTGCCGAGCAGGCCGTGGGCAGAGACAGAGGCTGCTGTGCTGAGGGCCGGGGAAACCTGGCAGTTCTCCCCCTAATGTTTTGTGCTATTTGAGTTCCCACACTACTATGGTCTGAAACTGTAAGCCAGCCCCCAATTAAATGTTTTCTCTTGTAACAGTTGCCTTGGTCATGATGTCTCTTCACAGCAATAGAATAGTGGCTAAGACAATAAAGATCTGTCATTAATGTCAGCAATATTTTTATAGTATTTAACAGTGCTCTGCTGTTTGCTATGAACTGATTGGGAAAGTTGAGCCATTGTATCTGTCTCACTAGTATAAATAAGATCCTCTCTCCTTGGTGGCTCCCCTTGACTGCCGGCATGAACTTGAGATCAGCTCTGGTGACTTCAAGGGGAAATGCCATAGAAACAAAGTAACCATGAAGACATGGGTTGGAGGTGAACATGGCTGCCTTGGTAAATGAGCATCATGGGAGCAGCTGTGCAGCCTTGTACCATCCCCAAAATCTCTCCTGGGATTCCATGATAGTTCTGGTCCTTCCTTGTCTCCTTAAACACCTTATCTTACATCCAACCCCAGCCCCAAAAGAGACTAGGGCCTTCCTCTCCCAAGCTGCCCTGTCCCAGCATACATTCCACCCCTTCTTGAAGGATCTCATGTTTCCTGCTCTCTACCTTCCCCTGCTGCCTCCCCCAGCTCCACTGTCCTTGCCAACAGTAAAGGGCATGTCTGGAAAGAGACTCAGCATCTCACCTCCAGAGGCTGGTGAGACATTTGGTTATAACATAGTTCTGAGTTTGGTTATAACATAGTTCTGGGCTAAAATGTACCTGTACAGTCAAATGTGGTAGTGCACGCCTTAAATCCCAGCACTAGAGAGGCAAAGGCAGGCGGATCTCTGTAGTTCGAGGCTAGCCTAGTCTACAAGCGAATTCCAGAACAGCCAGGGCTGTAGAGAGAAACCTTGTCTCAAAAAAAAAAGTACATGCACAAGAGCACACAACACACACACACACACACACACACACACACACACACACACACACACACACACACACACGTGTTGTGCCCTCAAAGTTTCCTGAGACATCTTGACCAGGGTGAATGAGGATCATTTCTGGATACGCCAGGCATTGATGGTGGCTCAGGACACATTTTTTCACTCTCGGCACTTTGTGATTGCTTTATAAGAGGCCTGAGTTACTTTTTAAATAAGAAAATAGATTTTATAAAGAAGCCAGGAACAAGGAAGAGTGGGGTTTTGTTTCATTTTAAATTTGCCTTCCACCCTAAACTTTTGACAGCATTTGATGATCTTGTTTTGTTTTTATTTGTTTTTTGACATGCGGTCCAGGCTGGCCTCATATTCATGATCCTCTCTCCTCAGCCTCGTTAGGGCTGGGACCATAGGCGTGTGCTGCTATGCTCAGCTTGATGGCCCTTCAAGTTATTCCAACGAATGTTTCCCATCTCCAGGTCACAGTTTCTAGAAGTCATTCTCTTGCATGGGCTATTTGTGACCCCCTGAGGTCGACTGATCTTCTACTGCTTGACATTCCCCTGTCTCAGTTACCGGGACTACAGTAGGGAGCTGGAGTCACAGGGCCACAGAACATCTACCAAGGTGTGAACTGGAAGCACGGATAGCATAATCCAGGGAGGGGAGAGAGATAGAAATGAATCTGGTCT